TAAAAGTTTATTTTGTGACCTACAAACACGAATAAGAGGAATATAAAAACGAGGTGGTAGCCGCCATTGTTTCACTCGGTAGAGGCGTGCTATGAATTGTGGGATATGGAGTTTTCCACCAAGCATACACCCTTGCGGTTACCGCAAGTATTCAATGGTTCTTACCTAAGATTCAGTTGACCGGACACTCGTACCGGCGGCGCGTCTGTGTGAGAGAGAGGGGGTAAAACGAGACAGAGAACCGCTCTCGGTGTAAGCCAGGCCCAGTCGCTCGGCAGCCGCCTCGCATCTCTCTTTTCCCCCCCATCTCCTTTCTGTCATACACCGGTGGCTAGCTGCCAACTGTTGTAGCTCCGCGTTAGCCACCACCAACAACTGAGCTATTTTTTCCACATCGAACAGCATCTGGACAATCCACCACCTTTCACTGTTTTTACCGTTACTAAAATGAATAAATGAATCACCAGTCTATATAAATGAAAAATAAGTCCAGCAGCCAACCAAGGGTACTCACGAAAGACTAGGGGGTGAAACGAGAGCGTGAGCCGGCCTGGGTGTCAGCCAGCCCGGCCTGGGTGTCAGCCAAGCCGCGCTAGCTAGCTAGCCGGCTAGCTGCCATGCGGCGCTAGCAGTAACATCATGAGAGAACTGTTGCTAATATGGGACTTCTTGATAAAACGAGCAGATATTTGAAGTTTACACAACTACATTCTCGCCTGAAAATATCTTAAAAGTTTATTTTGTGACCTAGAAACACGAATAAGAGGAATATAAAAACTAGGTGGCAGCCGCCATTGTTTCACTCGGTAGAGGCCTGCTATGATTTGTGGGATATGGAGTTTTCCACCAAGCATACACCCTTGCGGTTACCGTAAGTATTCAATGGTTCGTGCAACCTTAAAACTTCCAATGGTTCCTGAAAGCAGCAACGCTGTGCGTGCTGTTAATATTCTCGTCATTATGGTAATCCAAATACGGGTAGGCCGTACCACTCCCGACATACCACTAGAGAGAGCCAACACACCACAAATGAAGTTTGAAATCTGTTTCTATGGGGCCAAAAGTTGAATCTTTCTCATGGGCCTAGAAATGGGCCAAAATTTGCACTAAAATCTAAATATTTAAAAAATATAAAAGTCATAAACACCAAAAGTCATAGCATACTAGTCCAGACCCAGCCGCACAAAATGATATAACATATGTAACCCTTGTCTCAAAACTGTGGGGCGAGTTTCGCTTCAAAATTTCAGGCGGAAACTGAGGAATAATAATAAATCTGACGAATAGTTATAAGTGTGCCTCTTGGCACAAAATGGCAAAATCTGAGCTGCTAACGAGTATGAAGTTTCAACTTTGCCTGGGCTAAGATGTGTGAGCCCATTCGGTCCACTGAGTTGGTCAACTTGACTTCAGGAGTACATGTGGGTCATTCCATATTAATTTACCAAATTTCACAAAAATTCCCAGTTTGACCACCTCTGATTTTCCAGAACAAAATTCAAGGGTGATGATACACTTTTTAATAGGAAAACTGGCAAATTGTAGACCTATACCATTATTACTTTGATCATAAAAAAGACTTTTGCGATAGGTCACAGGGCGATTTTCAAGCCTTTTCTGTGGCTGAACATTCAACGATATAATAATACTCTGTACTAGGGCTGGGCAACAGACTAGGGGCTCTGCCAGGTGTTCCCAGCACACAGGTAAAATTCTTAAAGGAAAGGTGCCTCGAGAATGCCAGGTCCAAAAGGAGATGGCACTTAAGACTCTTAGCCTTACCAGATATGGAAGACGAGAACACGAGAAGTGGTTATTAGAATATTCACTCGCATCATACTGGGATGATTCAGGATACAGTGGATACAGTGCCTCAGCTGGGCAAGAAAAACAATGCAGAGAACTGTCATCATCCACCTCTGCATGCAGAATGTATGAGATGAAGCTGATGAAGATGCAAAGGTCTGTAAAGAAGTGAAGAGTCACACTTCAGAGAGACGATTTCCCGAAACAGAAAGCAAAAAGTAGTCATGTCATGACATGTCAGACTACTTTTTTGAGTGATCGGCAAACCC